AAAGTGGTATATAAGTCTAAGTGCTATTCTATTGCTATAGCACTTAGACTTGTTATGCTATAGCACTTAGTTTCAACTTGTTGTAACTCGCAATTTGCAGGGAGTGTACGGAGGGGGCCAAGAGAGTAAGCTAATCAAGACAATCAAATGGCTAACTCATTAGCTTGCAAACACAAGCAAAACAGAGATTTGAACCAAGAATTTCCCAACCAGTTGTTCAGTTATTATACAATGCCATAAGCATCAAATCCCTCATCACAAGCTGCCACAAGCAAGAACAAGAGAGGACATCAGTCTTGTGGGATTTGTAGAGGCATTTAGTTTCCACTTTAAGAACTAAAAAGATTTTGGTCTCATTCAGCCAAATTCTTTTTTTATTATTCAGAATCTAAGAAATTTACTTACTTATGCAGCACTGCAGTGTGACTCATGTTTCTATTTGAATGAGTGAGATTTAAAATGGTCTATTGTTTATTGAAATTGAGAAAGTTTACAGAGGACAATTTGTAATCTGCTGTAGAACTGTTCTCCAATATAACATCAGCATGATCCAGATGTATGGGAACCATAACTCCCAGGATTCCCAGCAAGTATACCAAAACATTGCTGGAAATTGCAATGCCAGCGTATCTGGAAGGTTGTCTTAAAATCAACTAATGAGGCTTTTTAGATGTGACTTTGAAAGAAAGGCACAAGAACAGCAGAAAAGGCTTACCTTGTTTTGGGACACTCAGCTATAGCAAGTGGGACACATTCTGCCTGTGGCAAGCTTGAAAAGCATTCTGCAACGTTCTGAGAATTTTCTTCATATGCCTTTCCTAACTTGGGGATGGGTGGGATCAAGGCAGCACCTAAAGATTTTTTTGGATTCTCATCATGACCATGTGCAATCTATAGGGATGGATGGGAAGGAAAAAAATAACTTTAAAACTCTGCTGAATGTCACAGGAGCATGAGAACCAGGTTATTTCAAAGACCGCCTCTTCCCATTTGCATCTACCGGTTTGTTGACGGCAGCATGATTGCTTTATGCACAAAAATGGAAGGACACTTCAATTCTCACAATGGACGAATAGCTGCAAAATTTGATGGAGTTAGCAGAGATGGCTAAATTCACTACTTTAATAAAAGAAAAAAAAACATAACTACTTTTGTTTCTACTTGGAAACCACTTCTGGACTTTGTGCTTGAGGTGGAAAGAAAATGAAACTTTGAATTTGGGTTTTACCGATTAAATAGATTTGTTGATATAGAAATAGCTAGTTTACTTGTAAAAGTAAAAAGTTGAGGCTTGATGTTACTGTCTTATTTTACTGCACCAAAGGGACTCAGAAGTCAATGCCTTTTCTTTCTTTTTCCCTTCTTTTCTATACTCTTCCCTTCCCTTTTCTCTTCTCTGTTATTCCTATTATTTGTTTTTGTATTTTATACTATAAATGATTTAAAAAGAAAAAAAATCAGAAAAAAAGAAGAAATTTCAGCAATAATTCTAATTAGATGGAGAGGCTTCGGGAAAGTTTCTGCACTTATTTCACTCGGCTGTAGAAAGTGAGGGATCTGCTTGGGGACTGTCCCAGAGCTCTGCTTCCAATCCCACTTGAAGCTCTCTGCTGCCTTAAGCTTTCTTGTGTCTGAGTCAAACCTTCTCAAGGGCTTCACCTTGTCAAACAAGCTTCAACTAGCCAAGTTATTTTGATAGACAAAGGATATTCTTAATGCAAGAACCAGCAAGTGATTTGACACCTCACTTGTCAGTACCACATAAGCAGAAGTTCTTGCAATTTTATTTTGACCTGTTTGGTAGGAATGTGTTTTCAGGCAGAGGTACCAAAAACTGAATAATTCTCCTTTAAAACACTAATCTATATTGGCAGAGCTAAGAGTCAATGAGACTATTCAGAAAAATCATGTAGGTATACTACTCCACAATGCAAATCAGAGATCATATTATGTTCTCCTTTACAATATAATAGCTCTTTGCCCCTAGAAGGTGGTGCAATGAAAAAGAAAATGCCAGGATAATTGGACTATTCTTTCTAAAAAAAACAACAACAAATAAATCAAAGAGAAAATAAGATGCCTCTCAACCCCAGCTAAACCAGGCTCTGCTTCAGGAGGTAGCAATTGGCCAACATTGGCCAACATTGTCAAGTTGAAAAGCTATGTAGAGTCAGGTCTGAGAGGCTTGAACACTTGAATGGGAGGCCATCAGAGCTGTAGGTTACACTGGAAAAAAAAATATTCCAAATTAAGGCACTGGCAAACCACGTCTGTACTATTGCCAAGAAAACTACAGGAATGTGTTCAGAAAGCGAGCAGGACTTAAGCTCAACTTCAAAGGGTCAAAAAACCTAATCTCTGTTTATGCAGAACATACATTTTTCAGTTGCACAGAAATCTTCAGGAAGCAGAAAGATGGAAGAAAAAAAAAATCCATATCGCATGAAAGCTAAAGTATTTCCTTGTTTTCTAACTTTTCACTCTATTAACATTAGCTGTGGAATAAAAGCTCCCTCTACTTGTTTTTCCTGTCTTCTTTTTTTCCCTCAGAGTTTCAGCTCTTGACTCCTTTTAAATTCTTATTTTTAAAAACTTTACTGGAATACATTTATTATTCCTGCCAGGTAGCTTTGAGTGAGTTCTAGCCAATTTTGCAACTCTTTTGACCTTCCACCAAAGTCTGTTTTTCAGAAGAGAAGCCTATTACTTTTTTGCATTAGTGCTCCTCCTGCTGGCTCTCATCAACTTGTCAGCCTAAATGATAAGACGCAATCACAGGATCCTTGGTCCTCTCCAAATGCCGTTTAATAATTGTCATATCTAAGTTACTACAAGTTCTTAATTTTAGAAGAACTTCATATTGCACTGACTATGCTATATGAAATATATAGTCTTCTTCAGCAATTATTGCAGCATCAGGAATGAATTTATAATGCAGTTCATCTCACTTTGCTGATTCTCTAAGCTGGTTTAACGTCTTCTAATGATACCAAAGCAAGAGAACAAGGGGGGGGGGGGAATCTGTTGGAAAACTGCCAACCCAAAAGTCCCGAGGAATATTTCTCTAATATTCCCAATGGCTGCATCAAGCTCCTGAACCTGGTGTCCACCTCCCAATGACTTAGCAGGCTGGGAATGATGGGAATTGTAGGGCAAAGTTGAGCTGCGCCTTCTCTGGAAACAATAATTTGCAAGGGGAATCAACAATCCTTAGATGTAAAAGTTTATTTTGTCTGTTTCTATACTGCATGCTCTCAATCTATAAGCCAATCCTCAGTGGTCTATTAAGGTCTTTCATTGTTTCGTATTAACAAGAGGTCATTCTGATAATATAGAGCAAAAAGAAAGAAAGAACCATAACACTACTACTAACCATAGTCTACAAGGATTTAATGCTAAATGAAGGAAGTGGAGTTAAGCAAAGACCGCTTGGCTTCGGTAATCAGAAGGTCAAAGGACGGTCCTAATGAAGAGTTTAGGGGCTGAGGAGGCTGCTAGCTTTGAAGAATAATGGATTTCCATTACATGAAGCAAGACTAGTTCAGTGTTAGGTAAAATAATCAGCCTTCCTAAAAGTAAGAGCAGTTTATTTGTGGATGCAACTACTGGGAGAGATGGTAAGCTTCCTTTTTAAAAAGCGGTTTCAAATCAGTGGTCTAACTGCCCCTTCTGTGATTCTACAATTAAATTTTTCCTAATCTTAGATCTCACTAGAACCTGCTCATTTTTTACTTGAAAATACATCTCTTCTATTTCCAGAACAATGCAACTTGAATTTATGTAACCCACACATTCAAATCCTCGTTTTTAATAGCAGATGTATAAAGTAAAGCAAGTTATTCTAAAAACAGAATAACAGAGTTGTTGGAACAGACCTTGAAAGTCTTCTAATCCAACCCCCTGCTTGAGCTTCCATTTCTTAAGCAGGGGCAACATATATTTTATACCTGCTGGGTGGATGTTAATTCTGGATTAGCTCCTTCAGCCTGTAAAGAGCCTGAACCATTCTCCCTAACTTGTGGCTCTGTTTCTTCAGCTCTGTTGGTCTCTGGGGTGTTTGGTATGCTCTGAATAGGAGGCATGGGCTTGGGAGTGACCAGCAGTCTTTGAGAAGCAGATCTGGAAATGGCTGGTTTCAGGGCAGGTCCCTTGGGAACAGCTTTGTCCAGCAAGCCTGCAAGTACAAAAGATAAAAACATGGAAATATTTGCAGGCTAATGTCGAATTTCAAGGAAGTGTCCCTCAGCAGCACCAAACTGATTGCATAACAAATTATCACTTGTTTTCCAGATGAGTTTTGTCCTATAGTGGGTTATTTTCAACACCAGGAAATGCCCTGAATAAAGGTATGATGCATTCTTATCCTGCAGTTGTCTCTATGTATGCAGAGGTCAAAGTACCAGGTTAATCCAACCCCTATGATAATCATCAGCTTCCATAAATGAATCCAAGAAACAGCTATATCCTGTTTCTGAGTAAGTAGCAACTGGGCCTTCCTCCTAACTGACATATGGAAAGAAAGATCATTACCTTTCACAATTAATTCAAAGGCAAAAGATCTAATGGCATGCTATACCTAAAATAGTGAAAAAGGATCCAGTAAACTGGGCCTTTAAAAAAAATGAACACAACAACACAGCATCAGGTGTATACAACAAACTCACACAAGGCTGGGCACACAGGTAACATGCAACAAAGAGCCCAAATTGGTAATTCTACCTATTTCATTGATTTGGCAAGCGTTAATTTCATTTCACTTTAAGAAGCCTTCAGGTTGATTTGAAAATAGTTGGTGTGCAAAATGGCTCTCAGTTGCTTTCTTATTGAGGTCAGTAAATCAAATCAAATCTTTGTTGCCATCATAGACCAGCATAACAAAGTCAGTATGTTTATGGCATCACCTGCTAGAGTATTGGAGAAGAAACTTACACTAGACTAGATGTTATCCAGCACAGTTCTTTTAACTTTAAATAAATACATTATCATTTTGGTCCAATTGCCTTGCAGGTATGTGTTGCTAGATTGATTGATGATTGTATGTACTAATGGCAGATTTTAATAACTCTGTAATTCTTCTCTCTAATAATGTAGCTCAACTGAGCTTTAGACCACGGAGCCAATAATTCAAGAATTATGGTTTCACTGGGTACTTATTCTGGCTCAGCCTCCAGTCATAAAATTAGAATAATGACAACTTACCCAAACAAGGCTGAAAGCTATACTTGATTTATAGCAATTGTATATAAAGGTTACAGATAAATGTATTCTTACCAGAACTCATCCTACCTTTTTTTGATGCCAGTAGGCCTTCTGACATTCTTCTTTTTTTGAGCTTATCCTTAATTTGAGCAGTCTCCATGGCTGCACTATTTATCTCCAATTCACTGAGACTGTACTTTGGCTGGGCATTAGGTATCTGTGAAGAGCCATTCATGACTGTACTGTCTGTATTCTTCTGAAGGCCATGTCTACTGTCACAGCTCTCCAGAGAAGAAACATCTGGAGGTTCTCCTTTGCTTCCCCATAAACATGATTGTTTTTTTAAAACTGAATGAAGAGATGCTGTGGAATAATTTAAGCAGAGCAGCTTGGTTACTCAGTCTGAAATTTACTTCTGCAGAGAACTAGGAAGTCAGGGGGTTGATTAAGAACCTCAGATACAAGGATAGTCAGCCAGACAGATGCAATGTAAGATGTGTCTTCTCTTCTGCAAAATTCTGTATACAGTAATGTAATGTTCTGAAAGATTTAGCTTATTGTGCAGGGATGGGGGGAAAATAGCTATTGAAAGGCCTTAGAATTTGAAAGACTATTGAATAGCATAGAATGTACACTATCTAAAAATCAACACAGCAATATCATGATGCCAATATCTTTGTATAAAATTCCGATTGTGTTTGTAATATGTTCCTGGTTTGAGAGCAGATCAGCATTATGCAGTATATTGTTGAACTGCTTTGGATAGGTTTTCCATGAGATAGACTTAAATTTGCTACATCACTACTGAAAGGCTGACTAGTTCTGCTTCTCTTCCCAGTCTAATATATTCTTTCAAATTGTCTCAATACTTGCAAGTTTCCATAATATTTCACCCATACTATATTGATAATAGCTATTTTATGGCTTCAGCTAATCCCAAGATTATTGCTCAAGCTGCAACACCTTAGAGATCTGTGTGTACATAAAAGTCACTGAAATGTGTGTGTGAACATAGACACAGCTCTGCTGGATATTAGAGAAAATCAGCTTCTCATTAAGTCTATTTATTGGGGTCACAACCACACCCATATCTAGGCTGCCAATCATACCCAGGGTAGGGTCCTCGCCCTCATGTGTTGTCATCCATCCATTTCCATGGAGCTGCAAAGTAGAATCAATGCTTCCTCCTCTAGATGACTTGCATCCAGATTTTAGTTTGGGAATGCTGCCACAATATATTGCAACCTGAGCTTGGTACTTTCCTATAAAATAAAATAAAAATGAATAATAGAAGGAGAACAATCATTTGCTAATCCTTCAAGTCTTGCATATCCCTTGTTTTGCCTCAGGTTGGCTCCACTCAGGACAGAATTTTCAGGGAGGGATCAGGGAAACTCAGTGTGTAAGCAGACTTCAATTCTGAGAATTTGCAACAAAAAAAAGCGAAAGAAGGAAGGAAGGTCTTTACCTGCCATAAAATCATCATGTGTTGCCATGCGCCTCAAAGAGCCTGAGATACCTGCACAGCTAAGGAGTTGCAACTTCTACTCCATTTTTCTGGACCCAGAACTGCTGTTACTTCTTTCCCAGAATATCTCAGTTTCTGCATGAAGGGACAGTATAAACATCACAATGTATGGCATAATCTTTATGACTATACATTCTCACCTGCCAGAAACATTTTTTAAATACACAATTGTTACTATCAATTATTTTGATTTAGCCATAAACTGTTGCCACCATTAAACATTTTAATAGGAAATAGTGCATAAATTTATGACAGCTAAATAAGTAGAATAAAGAACTGAGAACTGCTTCATACATTTTAAAAATCCTACACAAAAATAATCTATTTAAAAATCATGCAATTGCCATATTGAGTGAAATAGTCGTATGAGTTATTAATCAAGTTGCAAATACAGGATAGGAAGTTAGCCTTTAGTCTAGATGACAACAGTTCTCCAAGATGGCAGGGTATGGAATTCTGTGGTAAGTAGATGTGGATGTGAAACTGAAAGTCGGACGGGTTGTTTGCAATGAAGACATTTTATGTTGCCTTGTGGAACCTGATAAATCAGAAACTTCTCAGGGATGACAACTAGGAAGTTTGCCTGTTCTTGACTGAGAAGTCTGATAATGGTGGAGTATGTAACACCTCGAAAACAGCAGATTTATACTTTGTGGTGCTCCTAAATTCATAAATGTTCATAAAGGACTAAGAGGAAAATAGCATCTTCAATTGGTACTGTATAGCAGATATGACAAAAAGAATAGTTTTTTTCTAGCTACAACAGTACATGCACTGGTAACCTCACATTAGATGTTGGATTACTCTTGTGTGCTCTAGTGCTCTTGTGGAGCCACCTTTGCTCTTTGCCTGAGGTTGCAGCTGAGCAGAATATAAGAGTCAATTTGTTGAATGGGATACCAGTAGATACTGTATTATTAGTTTTAGATGATGGCTATTAGTAATTGAGTCAAAAGTTTTTGCTTGTGGCCTATTCCGCCTGATGAAATCTGGAACCATAAGAAACTACAGATGCCTTTCCTTCCCATAAAATCAGATGGTCACCAAGATCAACATCTGACTCTTAAAGACAAATAGGCTTTTTCTGCAGTGGCTCTTCCTCCTTGTCATTCAGGAGACACCATATCTCTTATCTACTTTGCTAAAGACTAATGTATGAATCCAGTTTTTTTCTTTTCTTTCCATATTTTAAATGATTTTATGCTTAATAGTCTATTATTTTGTGTAATTATGCTTCATATTTATTTTTAACTGAATACAATGTTTACAGTTGTTGACATAAGGGATATAAAATCTGCAAATAAATATAACTTTAATACACCTTCTTACAAAGTTTTCAATCAAGAACCATTGCATTAAGAATTTCACAGAAATGCAAAGTCCACAAGATCACTAGGTCACAATTATCACATTTCTGTTGGAGATGCAAATCAGGTCAATCTATGTCCAGTATCAGAAAAATCAAATTTGTGGGGTCCTCTTTGAGCTTGATTATTTTCTTGCAGACATTTCATTACCCAACTAGGTACCAACTAGTTACCCATCAATGCTCGCGTGGGCTTTGCTCTTTGTTTATATAAAAGTGGTTTTGGTAGGAATGTTCTTGGTACTGTATGATAGTTCCTTGATTAGGTTGTTTATTGTTTGTTTCTCTGAGTTGGTTGTTCCTTGATTGGAGTATTGTTTACTGCTTGATCGTTGGTCTGATATTAATCCTGGTGTTTATCTCTGCTTATCTGAATATTGATTGCTGATGAAGAGATGTTTTGGTTTTTTGTTTCCTTTTCTAGCTTTTTGATTATCTCACTTGAATAGGATGTGCTTATCTTTACATGCCTGTTGCTGGCTTCTTTGTATGTATACCAGGTTTCCAGGAATTTTCTAGCATTTGGGACTTAACTTGGTGTAGGATGCTCAGTTGAAACTATGGTCAAGTCTGTCCCCATACTATACAATTAAGGAGTTTTCATGATGTCTCTTGGCTGCTAGTTGATGTTCATGGATGCACTCTGCTAGTCTTTTATCTGTCCTACATAGTGGCTATTACAATCCTTATACTGTAAACTGTAGAGGACTCCTAGATTTTTTTTAATGGTTACTGGGTCTTTTGGTTTACTTAAGATGTTTTGGAGAGCTTTAGTTGGTTTGTGTACTATGGTGATAGTTGTAATAGTCTGTTGGTTGTTTCTGAGATGTTTTTGATGTATGGGAGTGTTGTCCTTTTTCATAGCTTGTGTGAGTTATGTTGTAGTGGGTTGAGTGGTTAGGTACTTTTGGATAAAGTTGCATGGGTATCCATTTTGTTGGAAGATGTTGTAGAGATGATCTATGTCCTTTTTCTGATGTTCAGGGTTGCTGTTGTGGGCTTGTGCTCATCTAAAAAGTGTTCTTAGACAGCCTCTTTTGTGGGAAGTTGGGTTGTGACTTTGATAATGGACCACTTGGTTAGTGTGGGTGGTTTTACAATAAACTTTATTAAACAGCCATTACGTCTGTTGATAAAGATATCCAGGAAGGTCAATATATTGCTTTCTTCTTCTCTTGTGAATTTTATTCCTTTCAAAATGATGTTGTTTGTTTCAGGTGTCTTTACCTTTAGTTATTCCTATTTTTGTTTCATCATATCGATCCATACCTTTGATTGTACATGTGGGATTGCTTCAGTTTCTACATGCTGTATTATGGTCTCTGCTATGAGTCCTGAAACCAGTGATCCCATGGGTGTTCCTCTTATTTATTGCTATATTTATCTGTCAAATTGAAAGTAGGTAGTAAGGCAAAGCATGATCTATGAAATTTATTAATACACAAAATTGCATTCACCAAGACTGCTCCGAGACATTTTTCTGTCTGAAGCAAACAACAAGATACTTTTACCATTCATCCTACAGATAAGTAGTTGAATTTTATTACTGACTCTTGTCTTGAGAGAACACCTTTTTGCAACTGAGGACAGCAAAATCACTTGGGGAATATTAGACAAATTGCCTGAAAAATACATGGTTCTGTCCTCAAAATGAGGGTGCCACCTGGGAGCTATCGCCACCATTGTCCAGCATTTTTCACTTAAAGAAAACAGTTCACTCTATCTAAGGATTCAGATATAAATCATGCTTTCTTTAAGAACATATAAGAGCAGCAAGAAAGTGATTGATTTGTGACAAGATTACATTTATTATTAAGTCAGATTTACTACAACAGGTTTGCCTGATCTGAGCCCCAGATTTGCATTCAGGTTATGAAATTGCTAACACAGAGGACCCACTAAAAATTGCCACCAAATTAATTGGCAATTGGCAGGAAAGCAACATCATTAAAGGCCCAAGGAATCATCAATAATCAGTACTGAATTGACTTGAATGCAACTTAAATTAACTCATGTTTATTTGTAATTGTATGACTCTTCTGCTTCATAAAAAAGGCATGAACATAGATGGGTGGAAGAACCTTGGGGAACCCAAAACAAACACATGGCAAAAGTATCATGTGGTGATTTAGAATCAATGCCAAATGTCCCCTCTGAAAGTGGCCCACATGCAGCAGTCATTTGTTTAAAGAGACTAAATTCTTTGGATATTAGAGTATACAGTATGGAAAGAGCCTGTGTATATTTCAGTGATGGACAAGCTTGTTTATTATAACAAATATCTTAATTCCACAGTAAAAAGAAGAGACATTTCCACAAGGAATTAACCTGATCAATCACTGCAAGGAGATTGGTTTGTGAACACAAAATCTGGAAAGACAAATTGAGTACTTCATGCTTGCTTAAACCATGACAATAGAATATGAACCTGGGATAGAATAAGAAATATTGATTTACTCATCCAATAAAAATGAAATATTGAGAGTGCTTCTATGAATGTCTCAACATGAAATCAGCCAATTAACTATGAATTTGGATATAATTTATTTCTCCACTTATCATGCTATAACCTGACAGCCATTGCTTAGGCATCTTCCCTATGGAAGATTTCTTCTCTTTGGCACTCTACTCTGTGAATCACTAAATTTGATCAAATGAATGATTAAATAAGATAGTGTCAAATGCCAAGACAAATTGAATGTTTCATGCCAAAAAAAAACCCTGCACATTTTATAAGGGAAACTTCTGCAATGAAAAGTTTCTAAATAATCAAAGTTCCCATATCTCTTCTTAGTCTTAAGCAGGGGTTCTCAACCTGGGCCACTTTAAGACTTGTGGACTTCAACTCCCAGAATTCCTCAGCCAGCAAAGCTGGCTGAGGAATTCTGGGAGTTGAAGTCCACAAGTCTTAAAGTGGCCCAGGTTGAGGACCCCTGGTCTTAAGGATAGTGGTTACACTTCCAAGCAAATCATTCATCTGTAAATGGCTTGCTCTTTTTTATTCTTTAAAGAAGGTTATGAGGCTTTTTTAGGGATCAGTGGCATTCTCAAAAGTAAAGGTAATTCTGGAACTAACACATGTGCTTTGAGGCATGCTTTTTGATTGATTGATTGATTAAATGTTAATGTAAAGATCCAAGTGGCACAGAAAAGTACAAAAGTACAAAAGATGTTCATGTTGGAAATTGGATGCAGGAGATGACCAGGCTGAGCCCAAGGGAAGGGTCAAATACATCATACATCATAAGTTCCTGTGTGCCTGCAAGACATCTAAGTCCATCCACCTTGAATGCCGCTTATCTCCCACTCATTTCCTTTGACCATTGGTTAGTCAGATTCTTGTAGAGAGCTTGAGCTTAAGCTTGCAATAAATAATTATGCTCATTTGAGCTGCCTGAATCTCTTGATTTTCCCAGAGCTTGACACTGGGTTCACCAAAAAGTAGTAAATATGGTTAAGAGAAGGTAAGAATTAAATCTACACAATATCTACCCTCACATATAAGCCCATCCTCAGATAAGGCAAACCTTGAATTTTTCATGTTTAATTTTCACATAAGTAATTCATGAATTATCTATCTTTTCATGGGTCATCTTATCCACAGATGGATTTATATACAAGTATGTACAGGATATAAGGATACTTTTGAAAAGAATCACCATACATACTTGCAGATAAGCCCATCCATCAATAAGCCAAACCCAATCTT